GAGGCTACATGATCACCTTTTGCAACCTTTTGACAAGCAACGTCAGTGGGGAAACCAGACTCATTTAACAACCATGTAACTAACTTAACAACTGCAGTGAATCACTTAATAACTGTGGCAAGAAAGGTCGTAAATTGGGCAAATTCACTTAACAAGCGTCTCATTAGCAACATAAATTTTGGGCTCAATTATGATTCTAAGTCAAAGACTACCTTTATCCCCAAACCATGACATTACCACCTTCATATTCAACAGTTAATATGAAGTTCTTATTGTGGAATATAATGGTTTTCTTCCATCAGACACAACATTTATGAAGGCTCAATATTTCACTTTTGACTCATCTGCCCATTGAACATTCCTCCCAAAGTTTGACAAAGCTGAGATGACCATCAATGGTTGCCTTTGTGTTCAATGACTTCCCCCTTGCTATTTTTCTGAGGTTCTCTTCCTTAGTATCTTTTGTTTCAAAATCTTTGTTAGGTAGCTCAATATTGATAATAAAAATTAATGGAACTGTAAAAAACAATCTGTATGGATGATTGGATTCTGAGCAGCCATTTCACACAAAAGGTTTAATTTTCTTGCTTGACTGAACACTTGCGTGGATTCCTTTTCACAAGTTGCTTCTTTAAAGCAATGCTGGCTTTCTCTCACCAGTCTTTGTTGTCATTGGATATACAGGAAATAGAATCATCTTTCTCTTTTTTGTGGAAGCTGAATGAGATCATAACAACTGAAATATTGCTTCACAAATTAAAAGTCCAGTTGCAAATTTTAATTTTAAAACTGAGTGGAGATCATTTTAAGTGTTGGGGTTTTTTTTAAGTAAAGCTCAACTTTACTGATGATTTATTTCCATTTGACAGGAAACAGATCTTATTCTGACCTTCAATATTTCAATGCACCGGTCTTGGTGGATGGAAAATGGCCCAGGCTGCACAGTGACATCTGTGACTCCAGCCCCAGATTGGGCCCCAGAAGACCATCGCTACATCACTGTGTCAGGGTGCATTCTTGAATATCAATATATAGAAGTGGCTCACAGTTCTCTACAAATCTTTTTTGCAGTAAGTATCCCATTATCTCTTTTTTTACTGTCTTTTTATATGAGGTATCTCAACCCAAGCAAGTACAAAAATTGCAATGCTCTTTTTAAGTATGTTTAGTTTGTAGCACACATCATTTATGGTTTAGTTGGAACCACATATCATTTTTAAAGAATGATCTCTAGAATTGTGTAAATCTAGAGGACACAAAATCATGCGGTGTTCTACAGAACATTTGCAAACTGTAGTTTTGGATG